GGAAGACCATAGAAGAATTGATGCTTTTGAGCTATGTTGTTGGAGGAGAATACTGAAAGTGCCATGGGCTGCTAAAAGAACCAATAGACCCATTTTGGAAGAAGTGCAGCCAGAGTGCTCCTTGGAGGCCAAGATGGGCAAACTCCATCTTTCATACTTCAAACATATTGTCAGGAGGGACCAGTCACTGAAGAAAGATATCATGTTTGGTAATGTGGAAGGTCAAAGAAAAAGAGGAAGACCCCCAGTGAGATGGATTGGCCAAGTGGCAGCATCGATGGACTCAACCGTGGCAACAGTGGTGAGGTTGGCCCAGGATTGGGCAATGTTTCGTTATGCTGTGCATAAGGTCGCTATGAGTTGGTGCCAACTTGATGGCACCTAACAACAACAACAACAACATAGTACATCTGGAGCACTGAAGAATAAGCACTGCACCGTTAACTGCAAGGTTGACATTTCAAAGCCACCAGCTACTAGTCAGAACTAACAACAACAGTACAGTTGAAATTTCCATATGTATGTTTTATGGGGAGGAGGGAGTATGTGTATGGGTATGATTATACATGCATCTGGGTGTGCAAATGTGTTGCTTATATGAACTAATCAGAGAAGATGAAGTTAAGAATTTCCATTTGTTTCACTTACCTTCCTCCAATTCTTTTTATACTTTAGGTTCCTATGCTGGAGCTGTGATTGCCATGCCTTTGGCCGGCATTCTTGTACAGTACACTGGCTGGTCTTCAGTATTTTATGTATATGGTATGCTGCCTTTCTGTCCAATCATGTTAAAAGAAATGAGCGTAAGCTAAAAAAGAAGTGGTTCCAGGCAATGCGATGGATCACTGCGTGTAGTTTTTGTATTTACTCTTTGATTTTCTCCCCTTAAGAATGTTGCTCACATTTTGGATTTAAGGAACATACTGTACCCTTAATGCTATCCCTAGGAGCCCTGGCAGCATAGTGGGTTACTTGTTATGCAATTAACCACAAGGTAAGCAGTTTGAATCTGTCAGTCACTCTATGGGAAAAAGATGAGGCTTTCTACTCCCAAAAAGATTGACAGCCTTGGAAATCCTATATAGTGTCTCTATGAGTTGGAACCGACTCTACAGCAAACATCCACTATCACTATTGTTATTCCTAAGAAGCTCTGGTGACACAGTTATTAAAGCACTCAGCTCCTAACCAACAGGTTAGCAGTTCAAACCCACCAACCACTTTATGGGAGAACAACGTGGTTGTCAGTTTCTTAAAAAAATTATGGCCTTTGAAGTCTTATGGGATTGTTCTGCTCTATCCTGTAGGACTAATATGAGTCAGAATTGACTTGTTAGCAGTAGATTGTTACATTTTGTATTATTTTTCCTACATTGCTATATGGCTGATGGAAATTTAGTGATGCATGCCATAAATTATCTTTGGTTATAAAGAAAAATAATTATATTATCTCTTGGCTATAAGCTGAGTAGAAAGTAAGAGCTAGCTAACACCTGACTCCTTCCTTGCTTCTGCCTTCTGGTCATTTTCCTGACCCTGATTGAGAGTAGAAAACTGGAAGATGGGGCAAGTGTCTATGTAAAAATTGAATTTTGTGACAAATTATCAGCTGATAGTTGATGCACCAGCAAATTTTAGTTTTTGTGTCCCTAGAATTAAAGGAGGTTATGCACCAAAATTAAATTGGGAATGAAGAGAAATCCTAAATCCAAACACTCTCTACGATCACTTTTCACTCAGAAGCTGAAAGCTTCCCACATCAAAGTATCTCTATAGTCTTTCTCTCTAAGAGGCATTCTTTTTATTAATAATGAGGAAACGAGAAATATGAGAGCTGGATTCCAACTGATATTGCCACTGATTGATACTCTCTTTGGGCATGGGCACAAGGATATGAAAGATTAATGAACACATGCAGTGGAACATATCTGACTGCTTCCAAATTTACCCTGATTCATTCCCATTTTAAAATCTAGTTATTGAACTAAATTTTAGGTCTGCAAAACATTATTAAATATTATTTCTAGTATGGATTCTTAATGTAATTAAAATGTCATGAATGAGTTTTGGATCCATGAATTTCTGAATTATATATATATATACTGGAGAAGGATATCATGTTTGGTAAGGTGGAAGGTCAGAGAAAAAGAGGAAGACTCCCAATGAGATGGATTGGCAAAGTGGCAGCATCGATGGACTCAAGTGTGGCAACAGTCATGAGGTTGGCCCAGGATCAGGCAGTGTTTCGTTCTGCTGTGCATAAGATTGCTATGGGTCGGTACCGACTCGGTGGCTCCTAACAACAACAACAACAACATACCATTAAAATGTCCTGATCCAACATCAAGGTTGTAAACCCTGTTGTAGATAAGGACTAAAATAGGATTGTGCTGCTATCTCTAAGGTAACTTGGTCCATTGATCAAGTTATTGGGTCAATAAGTGATGGAAATTTTGACTGGTTAGTCTAGATATTTATTATTCAGAGGTTATGTTATGTTCTGAGGTCACCCTAGCTGAAAAGATTAATCCTTAAAGTTAAGTTTATGCCTTGTAGGATAAAGAATAAATCAATTGAATTAATTAATTGAAGCTCCATAGGGTCTTCTCGTCATATATATTCATTCACGCCTCTTTATGGAAAGGTCAATTTCAATGATCAGTGATAAGACAATAGAATTGATGGTTTTGAGTTCTGGTGTTGGAGGAGAATATTGACAGTTACATGGACTGCCAGAAGAACAAACAAATCTGTGTTAGAAGAGGTACAGCCAGAATGTTCCTTAGAAGTTAGGATGGCCAGACTTTATCTCTCAGGAGGGACCAGCCACTGAAGAATGACCTTATGCTGGGTAAAGTGGAAGGTCAGCTAAAAAGAAAAAGACTAGTGGCAGCAGCAATGGTATTTTTTTCTCAATGTTTTCTTGTGAATTATGTGATAGTTTACATGGGAGAACATTAGCTTTTCATTCATCCTATCGTATATTGTTTCCTTGCCATGGTTACAATCTCCTCCATGCATCATCAACCAACCAAAGGGTATAACCTGCAAGCCGCCCCACCCCCCTGCCCAGTCATCAGCACACGGCTCCTCTCCCTGTCTGAGTCCAAAGTCCCCAGCCGCTCCATCTCTCCACGTCATCTTCTCTGCCTCTGACATCACTGTTTCTCTGGGTAGGGTCCTGCTCTCCGCTCTTCTCCCTTGATGGTAGCTCCTAGACTGCAAAGTTAATTACTCCCCTCTTTTTGCTACAAAACATCTACCTTTACATTTCCAACCCTCACAATCAGTCCTGATAACAGTTATTTACTATTGCATCACAAGAGACCTATTCACATTTCCTTTCATCAGCCCCATCCAGACAGAATCTCAGTGGAGATTCTACCTTCCAACATACCCTCTAGATCTAGGCTCCCTTGTAAAAGCTTGTAACCCAGTCACTTCTTGCTTTTGTAGCCCCCACCCCCCATTTTGAGTAGCCAATATCCAAATTGCCCTTCCCTGTCTACTCTGTGTATGGAGGGTG